TTCATTTCTATCTGCTTAAATTTTTATTATTTCCTTTCTTCTACTGACTTTTGGGTTTTTTTGTTGTTCTTTTTCTAGTTCCTCAAGTTGGGAGCTTATATTGTTTTGGGGGATTCTTTCTCATTTCTTGATCTGGGCCTTTTTATCTATGTTTTTCTATGTTATCTATGTCTATCTCTAGAACTTAGGTGTGTTTCCTTGAGGCAGTAGAAGACTGGATTCTGTTTTCTAATCCAGCATGCTACTCTTTTTTTTTTTTTTATTGGTGACATTAATCCATAAACATTTAGTGTAATTATTGATACATGGAAATCTGTTACTGCCATTTTGTTCATCATTTGGTGGTTCTATTTAATTCCTTGTTCAGTTCTTCCTGTTCATTCCTCAGTTTGTTTAGATCCCAAGTGTCCTTGTAATATTACTTGGAGTGGGGCTTTGTTTGTAATGAATTCCCAAAGATTTTTGTTGTTCAAGAAGGTCCTTATTTTTCCCTTATATAGGAAGGATAGCTTTGCAGGATAAAGCATTCTTTCGGGCATTTTATGTCTCAGAGCTTTTTGAATATGTTACTCCATTTTCTTTTTGCCCACAGTATTTCTTCAAAGAAGTATGATGCTGACCTAAACAGCTTTCCTTTATAGGTGTTCTGTTTCTTTTCCCTCATCAACTTCATTGTTTGTTTGTTTGTTTGTTTGTTTTTTTGGTCTGAACTCTTGGAAACTTTACTGCTATGTGTCCTGATGTAGATTTTCTTTCAATAAGTAGTCTTGCATACTTTTAACTTCTGTATGTCTGTTTTCATTTCCTTTCTTATTAAGATTCTTCAAATGTTTCCCTGAATAGCTTTTAAGCACCCTTCCCTGTCTTTCTCCTTCCAGGATTCCTGTGACTCTTATATTTCCTTTCCTCATGAAGTCATATAGTTCTCAAAGTGTTCCTTTGTATCTCCCTTTTTATTTTTTGGCTCTGTAACAGGGTGGTCCCCAGGAAAAGGGGAGGTTCCACATTCCCTGTCACACTCCAGGGAAGGTGGAACTAAGCAGGGGGAAGTTGGAAAGGGGACTCAGGAAGGAAGGAAGCATGGTGGAGAGCAAGGTGACCTGGAGGAGGCACGTGGAGCAGAAAGACATGTGAAGAAACTGCACTTGCTTCTTGGTCCTGGACTGGTTGAAACAGGTGTGGGTGAGAGACTTGTGGGGAGGTTAACAATGGCAGATTTTATCTTGATTTTATTTTGCTCTTTGGTCCCAGACTTGTCTGACTGTTTCTGACCCTTTTTTATGGGTCCCAACTGGATGGTGCTTTAGACTTGTGGTAGGGTTTTGGGCCTTGCTTTTGGCCAGCCCTCTTTGGCTGGACATTTGCCCACGAGGGGATGGGTAACTTTGGGTGCTTGATTTGGAAACTATATTCTTTGTCTTTTTTGTATTACACACTAATTGTATTCAAGTTCCTTTTCATTAAAGGTCTTATACACTAGACTATATTGTCTTAATGCAATGGATGGCAGAACCTATTTAGAGTGAGCAGGTATGGGGGTTCTGGAGTACCCCTTTCCCTGTCCTGTGACAATTCTTTTCATATCTGTGTCTTCAAGATAACTGATTAGTTCTCCCATATATTTTGTTCTATTTCCATAACATTTTTAAACCTCCTCTATTGATATTTAGAAATCCTGCAGTTCCTTCATTTTCTTATTTAAAGTTTCAGTCTTGATCTTCTGTTTGTTGGTTATGTTTCTTATAGCAGTCTTCCTTTTCTGCATCCTCTCATATATCTCTGACCTATTTTTCCAAGTTTTGTTTGTGTTGTTCAATTTCTTTGGCCTTTTTAATTATGGAAATTTTGAATTCTTCATCTGACAAGAAGAAAAATTCTTTCATGTAAGTGTTGAGTTTTTGGAGGTTGATTTTCTTTCAACCTCCTGAAGACTTGCTTGACCATTTATATTTTTCTTTCTCCTCATTTTTGCTTTTGACACTGCTCTGCTATAGGTGCGGCTTCTGTTGGGCTGGATCTCCCTCTCCTTCTATTCTGCATGTTTACAAGATCATGGCATTGGTTGTCCTGGTGATTCGTGCTTGTGGGCAGGAACTCCAGCTTCTCTAACATGGGTATGGGTTGTCCTGGTGGGTGTCTGGGTTGCTAGGCCTGTGAGTGGGACCTAGGGATCTCTTACCTGGGCACATCATCTGGATAGGTTTTTGGGTTGCTAGGGCTAGTGGGCTTCAATCTGGGTGAACTGCTGATGGGGTATCACAGGTGGTTATATGACCTCTAGCTAGTCTGGGTCACCCCGTGATGAGAGTCCAGGGTTTTACCAGTCTCTGTGGGTACTAGTGGGGATCTCATGACAAGTTACAGGCCTTTATAGGTGAAAGAGGGAATGGCGGGATCCTATAGTAGATGGTAAAGCTTCTGCCAGTGTGGGTAGGTGCTGTCTGTGTTCAGCAATGATGGATGGGCTCTGGTGCCTTCTTGCAGGAAGGTTGCATGGCCTCTGGCTCTTCTGGCTCCCTCCCCAAGGTGGGTCTGTAGTCTCAGTGGCCCAGGTAGGGGCTGGCTGGGTCTTGTGGAAGATCACAGCACCTCTGCTGGTCTGGGTAGAGGCTGGTATGTTCCGTTGTGGAAGTGGCTACTCTGGCTCTCTCCCTAAGGTGGATCTGGTGTCTGAGTGGTCTGAGTGGGGCCTCATAAATGAATAATTTTTGAATAGAGAATAGACTTTAGGTTCTCTGAGTTTAAAAAAAAAAAAGAAGAAGATTTTCAGTGGTCTTCACTTTAATGACCCAAGATACAGCTATTCAGATTACTTTTCTTCACATGGCAGTCATCACTGTTTGATATATCCCTTGACCTTTTCCCCCATGAAGACTGGCTTTGCAAAATGATGAGATTAATGTATTTTTTTGTTTCATTTCTATTCCCAAAGACAAGAACAATGAGCTCTCTATTTTTCATTCTCATGAACACATTCTTGGTCATTATAGGATGTATATGAAAGTTACAAAGAATCCAGAATCTCACAAAGATCTTAGACTCTTGTTTCTATACTATGGTATTTTATTCTCTTGTAACAAAGTGTAGGTAGGGGGCTCTCTGATGTAAGTGTAGAGGCAGTGACCTAATCTGTAGGACTGTTGTAATAATCCAAAGGGGGGGAAAAAACCCATGTGAATAGTTTATTATAATGCTGGCATATAGAAACTTGTCAAACCATCCTTTTCACTTATTTTGGTCATTCCCCTACCCAAAACACATACCCTTAATGACAAGCATATGACTGTCATGGCCCCTTTTCTCAACACCTAAGCAAATAAATTTCAAACCCTTGCCTGTACTCACACTACAAAACACATTTTCCATCTTGACTCTGCTCATGCAACCATTTCACAAAACAAAATTACCCTCGTTGTTTGTAATTCACTCTGGCATTTTCTATCTTATATATGTCCCAGTCTGCTCTGTGCCATTAAAGTAAATGCTGGTAGTTAAATTGATAGCACAGCTTTTAATGGTTCTGTCATAGTTTGAAAAACATAGGTTTTAGAGGAAAGCTGGGCAGCACAAACAAATATTTGCATTTTGAAGATGTCCAGTCTGGGTGAGAAACATATGACTGGACCTGTAGCCAAGATAATCCATTGACTGATCTAAGCAACAACTTTCATGTTACCATTGAAAACAGCATGTCCACACAGTTAGTAGAATGGCCAAAATCTGGAACACAGTTAATATTAAGTGCTGATGAGGTTGTGGGGCAATGGGAGCTTTCATTCCTTGCTTGTGGGTCTGAAAAATGGTACAGCTACTTAGGATGATAGATTGGTGGTTTCTTTCAAAATTGAACATATTCTTGTGACATAATACAGCACTTGTGCTCCTTCTTTGTGCAAAGAAGTTGAAAACTTATATCCACACAAAACCTTGCATGCGGATCTTTATATCAGCTTTATATATAATTGGTAATTATAAACTTGAAATCAACCAAGTTTGAAATTGTCTGAAATCAATCTATTTATCTACACTCCTTCAGTAAAAACTTTGGTACATCCAGATATTGGAATATTGCATAGCACTCAAAAGAATCGAGCTATCAAAGCATGAAAAGACATGAAGGAAACTCAAATACTTAATACTAAGTAAAGTAAATCAATCTTTATTATATGTAATTCCAATTATGTGACATTCTGGATAAGGCAAAATTAAGGAAACAGTAAAAATATCTAAGGTTGTGAGGACTTGGGGTATGTGAAGGATGAATAGGTAGAGTGAAGAGCATTTTTAGGGCACTGAAAATGCTATGTATGCTGAGGTAATCACAATGCATTTCATGTTATATTTGTCCAAACCCATAAAATGTACATCACCCAAGAGTAAGCCTTAAGATAAACTATGGAGGGCCTCCCTGGTGGCGCAGCTGTTAAGCGCTGGGTCACGCAGCTGCCCACAGCCACCCACAGCCTCTGCAGCGCTGGTTTGATCCCTGGCCACTGGGCGAGGATACCCACATGGCACCCAGACCTCTCCTGTCGCCCCCTGCTCCCCTCAGCAGTGTACTTCGTCAGTCTGCCTGTTCTGCTCCTGGCTCTGGCTCTGGTGAATTCTCTCACCCTCCTGTGCTTCTGACTGTACCCAGTGCTTGTATAAATAAATAAATAAATCTTTTTTAAAAAGATATACTATGGACTTTGGATGGCAAGGAGTGTAAATCTATGTACATTGGTTATATGTGGTGGGGGATGTTACTAATAGGGGAGGCTATGCATGTGTGAACAACAGGGGGTATATAGAAAATTTCTACACCTTCCTCTCATTAAAAAACAAAACACAGTGCTGGAGGTACCAACGCATTTCTTCCCACCCCGGAGCGCGTCCTCCCCTCTGGAGGGCCCGGAGCTGCTGGCCCGATGGGCGCCTGACCGAGCTAGGCCGGGCAGCAGCACCGAGGTCAGCCGAGAAGACGCGGCGGGCACGCAGTACAGCGGGGAGTTGACACCATGACGACCTTGGATGACAAGTTGCTGGGGGAGAAGCTGCAGTACTATTACAGCAGCAGGGAGGATGAGGACAGCGACCAGGAGGACAAGGATGGAGGTAGGGGTGCCCTGGCTGGCAGTTCAGTGCCTGCAGATGCTGAGTTGGCAGGCGAAGGCATCTCAATTAACACAGGTCCAAAAGGTGTGATCAATGTCTGGCGCTGCTTCAAGGAGCTGGAGACGGAACAAAGGGAGGAGCAGTGCCGGGAGATGGAACGGCTGATCAAGAAGCTGTCCATGACCTGCAGGTCCCACCTGGACGAAAAGGAGGAGCAACAGAAACAGAAGGACCTCCAGGAGAAGATCAGTGGAAAGATGACTCTGAAGGAGTTTGCCATGGTAAACGAGAACCAAGATGATGAAGCGTTTCTGCAGCAGTACCGGAAGCAGAGAATGGAGGAGATGCGGCAGCAGCTCCACAAGGAACCCCAATTCAAGCAGGTGTTTGAGATCCCTAGTGGAGAAGGGTTCTTAGACATGACAGACAAAGAACAGAAGAGCATCCTCATCATGGTCCATATCTACGAGGACAGCATTCCGGGGACCGAAGCCATGAACGGCTGCATGATCTGCCTTGCTGCCGAGTACCCAGCTGTCAAGGTCTGCCGGGTGAAGAGCTCCGTGATTGGGGCCAGCAGCTGGTTCACAGGAACGCCCTGCCTGCCCTGCTCATCTACCAGGGGGGTGAATTGATTGGCAATTTTGTCCGGGTCACTGACCAACTGGGGGAAGAATTCTTTGCTGTGGACCTTGAAGCCTTCCTGCAGGAATTTGGATTGCTCCCTGAAAAGGAAGTCTTGGTGCTCACATCTGTGTGTAGCTCTGCCACCTGTCACAGCGAAGACAGCGATTTGGAAATTGAGCCACGAGTCCACCAGCATCGATTTCCCACTGTTGGGGCTGGAAGAAACATATCTGGGTGGGTTTTTTTTTCCTTTTGTTCTTTCCTGTGTCTTCTGGTGTTTCAGCCATTTTTTGTAGTTCCTTTTCTTATATGTAAAGTCAAGAAATTCTTAGATTAAATCAGAATGCTGAATCACCTTGTGGTTAGCAATAAAGTCACTTAATTGTATAAAAGGAAGCTAGGCTTTGAACTATTTACTCAAGAGTCTCTGGTATGACATCTCTGTTATTGTTTCTAGTCAATATTTACATAGCATCCAAAAGACAGAGTCCTGCAAATTGTGCTCAGATGAGCTGGGAGGTCTGTGCCAGGCCTGGGAGTATGATTCTGTAACTTGTATGTTATTTGCAACATAAATAATACATTTCCTTCATCAGATGATTTTAAATTATATTTACCGGTGATCAGACCCATACCTGGAGAAGACAGTTCTTTCCCTGCTAGTGTCTCTTCTCCTTGGTCTTGCTTAAAGGTTGCTGACCTGTGTTTGCCCCATCACAGGAGGCAGCCTCTGCTGGTGGAGTTGATGTCTGGCTCAAGTGTGACTAGATCTAGGATTAGGGGAAGGATGGGTGCCCACTGCCTTCCTGATGCTGAGCAACCAGCTGGAGTTAAGAATGAGAACAGGGTGGTGCTGGGAAACCTTTTTAAAGGTGGATCTTTAAGTAAGATCCTGCTTATATGATTCTCTGTCTCTTATTTAGTTAGGTAACTCTGTTTCATGTTGCTTTTTTAAAAAAAAACTTTTTGCATTTTGGAAAAGTATTATTCAATAGAGGAAAATTGACCAAAATGCAGAAGCAAAAATAAGATTAGAATAATCTCTGATCCTATCCAGGGTAAAACACTCTTAATATTTTAGTATATTTCCTTCAAGGTGGTTTTCTTTGTATACAAAGACATTTTGTTTCTAACACAACCTTGGGATCATTCTGGACAAACTGTTTTATGGTGTGGTCTGATATTATATTAGACTTCTTTTCAAGTTTTTAAATACTCTTCTACAAGATGTTTTAAATGGCCATCAATGTTCCATTGTATAGATATTCTGTCATTTTCCTGGCAGTTGTCTCTTAAAAAGAAAAACAGCAAAGACTGTATTACAGGAGTAATAGATGTCCATTGTAGAAAAATGTAATAAAAACTGCTAAGCCGAAGAGAGATTTTTTTTTTGTAATGTTTGTTCTATTTCTTTGATGTTTATACTTGAAACTTTATTAGGGATTGCATTGAATCTATATATTGTTTTGGGTAAGATGGCCTTTTTTAACAATGTCAATTCTTCCAGTCCATGATCAGGGATTATCTTTCAATTTCTTAGTGTGTTCTATTTTATTTTATTTTTTTATTTGTTTGTTTGTTTGTTTTTTAAAGATTTATTTATTTATCCATACAAGCACTGGGTACAGTCAGAAGTGTGGGAGGGTGAGAGAACTCACCAGAGCCAGAGCAGGGAACAGAACAGGCAGACTGATGAAACACACTGCTGAGGGGAGCAGCAGGAGCGGCAGGAGAGGTCTGTCGCGCCATGTGGGACCCTCACCTGGCAGCCGGGGATCGAACTGGCCCTGCAGAGGCTGCAGGCAGCTTCTCAGCCCAGCGCTCAACCGCTGCGCCACCAGGGGAGGCCCTGAAGAGAGATTTTAAAAGCCCTATCACTTCACTAACCAAAAATAATCTCCATTACCATTTTTACAGGTAGCTTTCTAAATTTTTTTTCTATGTATTTATAATAATGATGGTCATGGGAGGTTTCCCACTTGAAAAATAGATATTCCACAGTCAGGAAAAATGTAATCTGGAATTAAAAATTAGCTTTAAAATTCATAGTTTCACTTTTTCTGGCTGTTCAAGAATTGACTGTTGGAGGGTTAAAAATATCTGTGGTGGTTTTCCAGCAAATAGAGGTATCATGGTTTTTCTGATAAAAGAGCTTATTGTAGCAGAAAATTATAAGAGGTAGAGACAACTGTTTTTACTGTTCGAGTTTGTTTCTTTTCAGTTTCTTCAATACTTTTAAATAACATTACGAACTTGTGAATTTAGTTCTGTATTCTGTTTTATTTAATATTACATCACAAATACCTTGACATGTTATAAAAATTCTAAATAAATAATTTTTAATGACTTCAAAACAAAATAAAAAACAAAACACAGAGTGTGTTAAATTCAGTCAACATATTTTATTTTTTTTAAGATTTATTTATTTATGCATACAAGAGCTGGGGTATAGGCCAGAGGTGGGGGGGGGGCAGGGTAAGAGGAGTCACCAGAGGCAGAGTAGGGAGAAAAATAGGCAGATCCACTGAAATACACTGCTGAGAGGAGCAGTGGGTGAGACAGGAGAGTCTGCTACACCATGTGTGTAGCTCCCTAGCCAGGGATTGAATTAGTGCTGCAGTGGCTTCTGATAGCTTCATAGTGCTGAGACTTAACTGCTTGCACCACCAAGGAGGCCCTCAATCAACATATTTTTAAAATAGGACTGTAACAAAACATTTAGTGAGTACCTGCAGTGTGTCTCATCTGACACTGTGGTTGGCACAGGGAATATTGAGATCAGTAGAAAAGTCTCCTTCCTCCAGAAATTCACAGACTGGTGGGGAGACAGCCAGGTAGAGAGTGGCAGCCTGGTAGGAGCTATAAAGAAGGCATAGATAAGGTTTCTATTAGAAACAAAGTTCTGGTGCCACTTAGTCCAGATTGGGTGCTGAGGGGTGGTGATGAGAAGGGTTTCTGGGGCAGATGTCATTGGAATTTATGGATGTTTTGGAATTAACCTGGAGATCAGAATGGTTGTGCTGGGGAAGAGAGTGTGGTACTAGAAAATCAGGTTAATAATCAGCTAAAATATTTCAAGTCTATACTATGTGCTAGATGCTTCAAAACACATAATTTAATCTCCCACATAAGTCTCCTACGAGATTCTCATTCTCATAAACAAGGAACCGGAGACTAGGAGAGGTTAAATGACTTGCCTATAGAGTGTGAAAGTTGGTTTTTAGCACTTCTTTATTTTGAGCTCCCTTTATCCTCTGTGTCTCTATTTTTTGAAATCATGTCTGAAATGCAAATCGTATTTTACTGCATATTTTTGTGTTACTAAGAAAATTTAAACTCTGGCCTGAAAAACATATTCAATGCAGGGATGTCTTAACTCACTGGTAATACTGCAGACCATTCCTGTGCAAGCACAGGGCTGGATGGGACAGAGAAGCTCAGACCTTCCCTCACATTCTTCTTGTCTGCTGGAAGACTCAGTTCTGAATAGTTAAGTGCTTGCCTGTGGGCTCACATCCCACCTTTGCCAACCTCTAACTGTTTAATCTCTGTATTTCTAGGTCTTTGATTTTTCATTTGTAAAATGTGGTTAATAATGGTACCTAAGGCTGTTGTGAATATCTCAAAAGAAGTACGAATGTGAAGTACTTACTGTATGTAGGATTAACACAAAAACTGCTCAAGAAATATCAGTGGGAGCATTATGCAAAGAAGAGGCAGATTCAGTTCCTTAAGCTCAAGTTTTACTTACTGGTTGATAACATGTCATCTTCTCTGAAGCTTACACTGTGGGTGAAGCAGGAACTGACCCAAAGGGTCAGGGCCAGGTCTCTGCCAAAGCAGTCACAGGAGAAATCCAATTTTTATGCCTATGGTCAGAGCTTTGAGGACTAGATTACTCATCAAGAGCTGGGATAGAAGGGAGCGATTTAACAGTTGGGTAAGGAGAAGGATGGTACAAAGACAATAGGAACGGGAAGAAAAAATGGTATGATTTGGCTCGATGTGGATTTAGATTAAGGGCAGCTAAGAAGAGAAGTTGATAGGAGGGAGTGACAAGGAGGAAGGGAGAAAGAAAATGATGTGGAGAAGAGAGCAAGAAGAATAAAAAATTCAAGGGATATGGGAAATATTGGTTAAAGAAACCTCTGACAGGTGTTGTTACTTTTGTATTTATGTGGTTACATATGGTTTCTCTTTAAAGAAGTCTCTTTTGTAAACTGTGGGTGATGGAGGGAGAAAAGACTATTACAAGTTGGTAGGTGCTCTTTTCCTCTTTTTGAGATCAAAGTTAGGGAAATGAAAAACAGCCATTAAGATGTGTTTTCCTCCAATTTTTGGTTACATGATGAATTTTGTTTCAATTCACCAGTGGTAATTTCTAAATTATGAACTTAGTGTTTCAGGTTATTTGAACCAATGACCTTGGAAGTTGAGCTCACAAGATTAGAATCTTTTCGCAAAACCAGTCTTGCAAGTCTGCCCATTATTGCCTATTACGAAGTATAGACGAATTTCTGCAGATGTGAAGAACCAGGTTGGCTGCAAGACATGGAACACTGAAGTTTAACCAAAGGCAGAACTTCTGTTTCCCTGGAGATTGCAAAGGTAATTAAGATGGCAATTATCTTGGAGCTTGTTGAAAGAGAGCTGTATGGATGGATGCTCATGAGATAGGAAATTAAATGGACTTGATTTTTTAAAAAGATTTATTTATTTATACAAGAACCGGGGTATAGGCCAGATGTGCTGGAGGGTGAGAGGATTCACCAGAGACAGAGCAAGGAACAGAACAGGCAGACTGACGAAACACACTGCTGAAGGGAGCAGGAGAACTTGATTTTTTTAGTAAAACTTTTTACAAGCAAATAAAAATATTTTTTTCACAAAACCTGAAAATTACAAAACTCATTCCATGCAGTAATCTCTTCCAGTAATACATTTGGCAGATGGCCATTTAGGTCAGCATGGAAATGCCTGTTGGCAGAATTGACAAAAACACACCAGAACCTCCTTTACTGGAGAACTCCAACAGATGTAAAATGTTCTTGACCTAAGTTTTGTCTTCTGGAAACTTTCACACGCGAAACTTCATACCACTGGCCAGAGCAACTGAGAAGTGAGTTCTCATTTCCTTATGACAGACCTTCAAACACTAGCTACACATGCACATCCCTGCAATTGTTTCATTTTGATGACTTCGGACTCTTCCCCATTTTGAATTACCTTTTCCGGACAGGATATAGTTATATATGTTCTTCAGTCAAGATGTTCAGGACAATATCAAACTACAATGGAAATTTCTGGTATCAAGGCAGGCAGAAAAGACTGTCCTCCCCTCCCAGTATTTTTTTCTTCAAGTATTTGTAAATAATGCATGAAATGTAACTGAAAGATAATGCAGAGCACAGTCAAGCTCAAACACACAAGCCCACAGAGGGCTGTAATAATGAGAAGTGTTAAGTCCATGGTAGTGAGAGTGAATAAACAGAGGGGCCAACTCATTGGTGTTTTGGTCCTAAGTCCTGGGGTCTGGTTTTTATTGCGCATGCTGAGACATTAGACACTCTCTTTAGACCCCAAGATGGGGTAGCTGGTGGTGAAACTCTGCAAGATATTCCCTGCATACAATTGAACCTGCTAAAAGGTCTAGGACAAAGAGACAAGAAAACCCTGCTCACTGGCCCTGGGAAGTAATCAGGATACTTGCTAGGGACTTAGGCAGAGTGAAAAAAGCTGACTCTGGAGAAATTAAAACTCCAGGTTTG